ATGGCTGTGCCGCTGATCTGGAGGTTTTTTTTCCAGGCTGGGTTTTGAACCCTCCTTCTCAGGTCCTTTCACTGTCCAGCATCGGTGACTTACTGTAAATAAACTAGACAAGCAATTCTTGTTAGTGCCACTTCACTGTCCCAGCTGCAGCACCTGGAGGCAGAGGCCGATGCCGGAGGGGGGGGGGGCATCCCCGGAGTGCCCACAGGGAATATCTCACCCCTAGGAGGAGAGTTTGGGGTTTTCTGCACTGTGTCCCTGCCCAGCCTGGGCTCCTCTCTATCCTGCCCACACCTTATCAACCAGCAGCTCCTCCACAGGGCTCTGCAGGGAGGTGGCTGGTGCAGAAGGTGCAATCCAGGAAGGGTCCAAGGAGTTACAATGCTGAGTGTCATGGGGCCTAATTTTTAGGCCACTAGAAAATCCCAGGAAGAGACTGTGACCTGCACAGCTGAGTTAGGGGCTTAAACTCCCTAAGCAACGCGTGGGTGTCACCACACAAAAGCCAGCTCAGCAGGCAGGGCCCGGGGAGCCGTCTAAGCCAGCCAGGGGAGATGCTGACAGGAGGGAAGGGGTGTGCTAAGCCCTGCCCCTCTCACAGGGAGGTGCCTGAGTCTGGGCTGCAGGGGGCGCCAGTCCCTGCTTAGCAATCCACCCGCAGGAACCCAGCGCCGGGGTTGGAGGGCTCAGGCGCCTGAGGCATTTCTTGCCAGAATGAGGCAGGCACCTGCCTTGCCCCACATGCAGTGGGGAAGGGGGAGGGAGGGTTGGTGATTTCACCCCCTGGTTAGAGCCCCTGGCTAGAATGTGGCAGAGCCAGGCTCAGGGCTCCCTTCCAGCTGCTCCCAGCCTCAGGCAGTCACACAGCAGGGCCCGTTCCCCAGGCTGGGGGCGGCTCCGTACTGAGACCTCACCCCCCAGCTATCCAGTGTGAGCCCCTTAAGCACTAACAGCCTGGACGTAAACCTCCCCCAGGGGAGGCTGGTTCCCTCCCTGGCCCATCTCTGCCCCCCACGTCCCACCCCTGCTCCACCCCAGGCCCTGCCCCAGAGCCGCTCCAGGCCCTGCTCATCCCTGGTTAGCCCCACCGCTGCACCCTTCCTGCCCTGCCCCCATGAGTGCGGAGGTTGGGAAGGGACACAGCAAGGGGGTGGGGTCAAGGAGAGCTGAGGAGAGATGCGGGCGAGAGGGGGGAGTCTCTCAGGGTTGGGGATGTGCAGACAGGAGGGACATGACAAGTGAAGGGTGGGGGGTCCTGCGGGCAGGGTGCTGGAGGAGAGGAGGGACACAGTGAGCAGGTGGGGGAGGTGTCTCGCAGGTAGGGGCTGGATGACAGGAAGGACATGGGGAGCAGGGGCATCCCTAGGGCCCCCTCCCCCTCCCCCATGTGCCACCCCTTCTCTGCCCCATCGCACCCCTTCTTCCCCTGCTCCAACTTTTTCCCTGTGCAACACAAGCCAAAGAATTATCTGGGGCCTGGTGTGGGGTGGCAGCAGGGATTGTCCCCCTCTCCCCACACTCACCTCCGCTGTGGACCTGGAGCAGCCTGTTCCTCTCAGCCCCACCCCCCTCCCCTGGCCTGCTGGGCTGAGCAGGGACCCTGCAAGTGCTGGGTGGGAGGGTCTATGGCCCTCAACAAGGAGTCACAGACAGGCCCCGCGGGGACTCTGGTCTGGCCTGTCGCCGGGGCAAGCCGGCCTCTGTGACTGATGCTTCCTCACACCACAGATCACCCCAACATTCAGGTTGTGCCCAGTCCCAAAGACCAGCCACTTACCCCAGGTCACTTGTGCGGTGCTGCGTGAATTAGGGGAGACATGCGAGGAAATTGTTAACACCGATGTTATACTCTTGCCAGGACTCAAAGTAGAAATGCCAGGGGGGGTATCTGCAAACACGCTGCTTTGCAAGTCTCCTGTCGGTCCGTTTGTCTCCCCTTTGCCCTGGGAGCTCTGGGTCTGTCTGAATTTCATATTTGCACTGTGCAGCTGGGCCCACTCCCAGGCGGATCGGCATGAGCACGGCCTCCCCCGCTTGGTGCTCCAGCCAGGGACATGGGCTGTGCCATAACCCCAGTGATAGACCAGGGCCGACACCTGCTGAGCCAGCGAGCCAGGCAGGGGCCTGTGTGGTGAAGCTTCTGTTTGGGGACAGGAAGTACCAGCCTCATGGCAAAAGCACATAAAGGCACCTGCAGCCTCCCACTCCTGCTTCCTACCTCTGCAGTAACTTTGCTGCAAACCAACCTCTGGGGTGAGGCCCACGGGGTGGGCGAGGCGCTTGGTGCTCCAGCCAGGGACATGGGGTGTGCCATAACCCCAGTGACATACCAGGGCCGACACCTGCTGAGCCAGCGAGCCAGGCAGGGGCCTGTGTGGTGAAGCTTCTGTTTGGGGACAGGAAGTACCAGCCTCATGGCAAAAGCACATAAAGGCACCTGCAGCCTCCCACTCCTGCTTCCTACCTCTGCAGTAACTTTGCTGCAAACCAACCTCTGGGGTGAGGCCCACGGGGTGGGCGAGGGTTTGTTTTTTTGGGGGGGCCAGAATGGGAGCAATGGGCCACCCATCCCCAGCACTGGCACAGGAACCTTTCCCGTGCATGGTGAGCAGCAACACCCAGAGCCCTTCCCCCAGCCGGACACTGCCTGGCAGGTGCCCTGTTCCGGGGCACGCTGGCCTAGGGTCCCCTTTGGACCCTCCTCCCCGCTGAGAGCCACAGCAACAAGGGCTGGTCAGTGCCCAGGGGTTCCTCTTCTGCTACGGCCACAGGACAGGCCTCTCTACCCCGCATGGCAGGTCCAGTCCCAGACGGGGTTCTGACCAGAGAAGGGCGCCCCAGCCACGGCAGGTCCAGTTCTGAGCTGAGGCAGGGGAAGAAACAAACAGACTCCAACCAGGCAGGGGCCTGGTAGGGCTGAGCGTGGGCTTCTGTGGTAGGAAGGGGTGACCAGGCAATGGCAGGTGTCAGCTATGGCAGGATCAGGTGGACATGGCATGCCCAGGCTGCAGCTCAGTGCAGGCTAGGAGCCAGCAAGCCCTTCTTTTCTCCTTCTCTGCTAGAGGAAGGGAAAAGAAGCCTCCCCTTTGATCCAACCAGGCAGGGGCCTGGTAGGGCTGAGCGTGGGCTTCTGTGGTAGGAAGGGGTGACCAGGCAATGGCAGGTGTCAGCTATGGCAGGATCAGGTGGACATGGCATGCCCAGGCTGCAGCTCAGTGCAGGCTAGGAGCCAGCAAGCCCTTCTTTTCTCCTTCTCTGCTAGAGGAAGGGAAAAGAAGCCTCCCCTTTGAGCTGGAATTGAACCAGCCCCCTAACATCTGCTAGGGGAAGGGAAAAGAAGTCTCTCCTTTGAGCTGGAGTCTGGCTGGTGCTGCCAGCTACCCTTGCACATTGCTGTGCTGCTACAAGACAGACAAAAATACCTGTTTCTCTAAATGAGGATGGCTGAAAGGGTTTGAAATGGAGGGTTGGATTTTGTTAAGCCAGACTCCCCCCCCCAGATGGCTGTGATGCCAATTAGGTAGGGACTGTCTGGAGAGCTCAATTGGCTATGCACAGCTCTAGCCTTCACAGTGACTGCTTGAGATTAGCGCTGATGAGGAAAAGATTGTATGACATTTGAGTGAGAGAAATTTATGGCTGCTGCTTGAATTAATTTTCCTTTGTGTCTGTTCACGGCCTCTTAACTGGTTATTCTGTATTGTTTATAATGAAATCATGCATGTCTTGCACTTAACATCTGGACACCAGAGTTGCATGTATTCTCCATGTCTTGTTACACCTTTTAACATGCTGTGCTAAAGAAGCATGTTAATGACTAGGGGATGGTTCTGATCCCAGCTGTGACTCTCCCAAGTTTATGCTTGAGCTCATGGTGCCTTTGATTCCTTTCCAAGTCTTTGTCTATGTATACAATAAACTTTTCAAGGGCAAGGAGTGCATTTCACAATGGGTCTGTCTATACTGTAATTACACATCCATAGCCAGCCAACTTGGGCTCACAGGCACGGGCTCTGGCTTCCTCCAGGCCTCAGTGGTGCTTATCTATAACCCCTAGGGTTGCCAGGTGTCCGGTTTTTGCCCAGTAATTGCGTCTTCTGTCTGGCAAAAAAAAAAAAAAACCAACAAAAAAACCAGAAAATTTTCTGTTTTTCTTGGACAGAAGGCCGGCGGGGACATTTTCTGTGGGGAAAGAAGTGGGTGTGTTGGGCATGGGGTTCGAGTTCAAACCCCTCCACAGACCAGAACCCCACATTAGGGGCACGAAAGAGCCTTGAGTCAGGCAGTGGAGAACACTTGGCTCCTGTTATGCTGTGATGGGATATTAGGAAACTTTTTGCATGCAGCCCAGCTAGCTCAGTTGGTAGAGCATGTGACTCTTAAACTCGCGGTCATGGGTTCAAGCCCCATGCTGGGCGATGCCCTTCCTTAACTCACTTTCTCAGCCTACAAGCAATTTGCTCTCAGCTTTCACCAGGGTTTTAGAAAGCAAAAGTCTAGTCCTGGGGTCCAGATTTAGTAGAACCACAGAGAGAACCAACTGCAATTTCTATCTTCTGAGGAGAAGGGAAGAGGATTTTCTTCTCCTCAATTCCAGCCACATCAGCCCAGGGAGGAGAAAAAATAACCCTCCGCCCGCTGATTGTCCCCTGTCAGCTTCTGTAGCTTCACCTCCTTCCACAGCAGCTCCAGCTTTGAGCTACAAATCTCAAGGGGCTGGTGAGGAAATGAGGAGCTGGCAGCTCGGGTTAGTCGCCTCCATGAGAACAAGAGGTGAAGTGTTCACAAGGTGCATTCCCCTCTCCCGCAGAGCAGGGTGTTAGCAAGAGCTAGGAACAGAACTGTCGTCCAAGTTTCAGCCTTGGTGTGTGTTTCTGTGGTGTAGTGGTTATCACATTTGCTGAACAGGTAGAAGGTCCCTGGTTCAAAGCCAGGCAGAAACAGATGGTCTTCTCCTATTGCTGCGCCCCGGATATATGCAGCTCCTGCTACTCAGACTGTGCTTGGGATAAGCCCAACTCCCATGCAACGGGGGAAGGGGTGACATCAGCTGAGAATGCCCCTTGGTGCCAGTCTGGGGAAGCCAGATGGGTCAGGCCAGGCACCCGATGGACACTTGTGTCTCAGCCTCCCCTGCCCTTGGAAGCTGGCGTATGGGGCTGGCTCCTCCTGCTGCTTCCCTTGTGTGACTTGCCCAAGGAGGAAGTGAGGCAGGAATGGGGCAGAGGAGGGAGGCCAAGCTGAGGGGGGCAGGACAAAAGCTCAACATCTCAGTGGGACTCAGTAGGGTGAGCAGAGCCTCCCCCCTTTATTCTGCCAAAGCCTGTGGGGTGGGGCTGGCTGTGGGGAGGCAGAGTCTTCAAAATCCACCTTCTTTGGCTCCCTTTCCTGCAGGCTCCCTAGAGAGGGATTTTTGCCCCCTGCTGCGAGTCTGAAGACGCCTGCCACCTGGCAGCTCTGTCTCGTGTTGGGCAGTCTGGGAGGGGCTGGGGCCCTGGCGTTGCAGGGTCAGGCTGCAGACAGCAACAAAGACTTCCAAGAGCAGAAAGCTGAAAATTCAGCATCAAACCTGCCCCTTGCTGTGGTCCTATAAGGTGACCTTGACCCTGCAGCGCTATTTCGGGGTACTAAGGCATCTGTAATATCTACCCTGCGTGTTAACAGTGCCCCCTTATTTTGAAATACAATGGGCTCGCTAGTCCAACATCCCTGTAAACCTCATTTCATGAGGAGGAAGGGACATTTCCGAACAGCAGGTTATTTCGAAATGTGGTGCTGTGTAAACACTGAAGCGTTTTTCAAAATAAGATGAAAATGACAACTTCTGTAGCTCAAAATGTTTACTATATGTCAACCCTCTGTCTACGCTGATCCCTAAACTTGAAATAAGATGCTACATCAGGGTTCTGTTTGCACGAGAGAGACAACGCTTTAGTCCAGAGAACACATCTGTTCTTCCACAAAATTTTTCAGAAGAGCAGACATGCTTTTTTGGCATCTCTGTGAACTTCATTTTATGAAGAAGGGATGTTCCAAAAAAGGGTTTTTCCCCCACATTTGGCCCAGTGTAGATAGGCAAAATGTCGAAAAAGCCTCTTCCGAAAAAAGAAGCAGAAAAAGCTATGCAAACTGGGGTTCACAAGTTACCGAGCTTTTTCAAAAGAACAGTGTAGTGTAGACATAGCTCGAATGTTGCACAGCACTGGTAGGAGAGATGGAGGGACAAAAGGGTCCATGGGCATCTGCAGCCTTTCAGAACAGCACTTGCCTCCACCCTTGCTCTGGTCTGCTGGACTAACGCTCATTCTAGTGTCAGCCTAAGGATTGGCTGTTGTGTAAAAGCTGCCCTGGAAATGAGGAAACAGCTAAAGCGACTCTGGTGGAATTTGAACCCACAACCTTTGAATAACTGACCTGCATTAGTACACCATAGGCCAACAAGCTTTCCATTGCACCACAGAACACTAGCTTTGCTGTCTCTGGTATCTGCTTTGCAGTATGGCAATTGCTGGGGGAAAAGAAAGGGGAGCCAGGTCTGTCTCTTTTGGGAGAGCAAGTAGGAAGAGGGAGGGGCCACTGAGCCCCCTGACAGTGAAAACAATTGGGCTATGTCTACGCTGGCAGGTTTTTGTGCCAGAAATATGCAAATGAGGCTAAGTGTAACGGCATTGCGCAAGAGGGTTTTTCTTGTGCAAGAAGGGGCTGTGTAGATGCTCCTTCTGGCACAAGAGCCTCTTCCACAACAATGGTTGC